TCTTCTCCCTGGTAACGGACAATAGGCCGAGGGAGGAATGGTGTGAAGCTGTGCCAGGGCAGGTTTAGGCTAGACATTAGGAAAAACTTCTTCACCGAAAGGGTTGTCAGGCTCTGGAATGGGCTGCCCATGGAGGTGGTAGAGTCCTCATCCCTGGAGGTATTTAAAAAAAGGATAGATGAGGTGCTTAGGGACATGGTTTAGTGGTGGGATGTCAGGGTTAGGTTAAAGGTTGGACTTGATGATCTTAAAGGTCTTTTCCAACCAAAGCGATTCTATGATTCTATACAGGGTATGCAGTGAAAACTGTGTGACTCACTATTGCAGTGTGGTGACAGACATTTCACATATCCAGCTATGTTGCTGGGAACAGCTTTGCTATTGATCACTTTCTGATACTGCTGTTTACTATTTGTTTTGTTGTTGAGCAGAAGGGTAATATAGCAAGCAAATCATTTAATTATTCCAGTGTTAGGATTTTTTCAGTATTTGTCTTAAATGATACATTGGCCAAAACTGTTGCTATGACTTTTCATTGTTACGGGAGCGGTAATACTTTCATGTCTAACACAGCTTTCAAAAGTACATTTTAAATGTTGCAAATTCTGGAACTTTACAGTTGATAAATGCTAGCTTATAGCACTTCAGTACTAATTCTGCCTCTTACTGTATCTCCATGAAGTGTGAAGAAGTATAAATGTATTCAAACATACAACTGTAATGCAGCAATGGGTACCAAATTAACATTGTGTGGACAGCATTGTTATGATACAGCCTGACCGGCAGATGTTATATTTTTGTAATCTAAGTTTCCTTTGCGTGCAGGGTTTTTCTAAGTATTTTCTACTTATTTAAAAAAAAAAAAAATCCACCTTTTATTTTATGTCCCTTGTAGAAGTCTCTTCTCATCACGGTGGCTAATGTCAACTGTACTTGGCTAAGGGATAGAGTTGCTCACAATTCTCATCACAGTCAGTAACCAGGTACAAAAGGAAAACCCAGACCAGCATGCACCATGACTGTACCCTCCAGGTACAGTCCTCTAAGGTGGAAAGTCTATCAGAGTTGCCAGGCTCACCGATCCCATTTACCCTGCTGTTATGTGAATGAGCGTGTGCTGTGTTCAGGCAGCGCAGGAATAGGTGCCTGTCTGTCTGGCACTCAGAATGGTTGGACAGATGCAAACAAAACTTGTCATAGCTTGGGAAACAGGTAGCAAACTGGAGCTGTTATGTTAAGGGACAAGGGTAAGTCCTAAGTGCATTAGGAAATATGGAGGGGGGGGGAGTTGCTAGGGCCTGTCTGTGTGCCTGTGGGTTATGCGAGACTAATCATTAGGAAACTAGGCTTTAACCCTGGTGCTTATAGAAGAATTAGTTCACTGTTTTTTATCTGAGGCTGCTCTGCCAACTCCATAGGTTTCTATGATATGCATAATTTCTTTTAAATAGCACCATCCAAATCCCTCTACAAAAAAACCACCCAAGCTTTAGTTTTCACTTTTCCTTGGTCAGAAACACTTCTCCCTCTTGTCACCCCGTGTTAGTAAGGGGAACGGGAACAACTGAAGTATATGTGAGACAAGGGTCAAATATATAACCTTTAGTTTAAGATGGCTTTGTATGATACAGTTATGGGACATATAGTGTGATGAAATTGTACAAAGTGTCAATTTTCCTTATAATTACAGTGGTTTAAAAACATACAAATTTTTAGAGGGTAGTTCTTTTCAGCAGAGAAGATTAAATTGGGACACGTGTACCATTCTGAATATGTGGAGGGCCTGAAACTGATTTTGGAGATGCGATACCTCTGTCCTCTACTGTCACTACATAAACGAAAACTATGACACATCAGTTACAATTTTATTTCCTTGCTTTTCAGTTCAGTAAATGAAAAGGCTATAGGAAAAAGGCATTGGGGAGCTGAGCATTTAGAAATATTCCACATGAGACAATCTGAAGGGTAATTGAGATAGGAAAGGACAGGATGGCAGTGACACTCGCAAGCCAAAGATGAGGTATTTTTTTCCCTTTGTATGGTCTGTTAGTATAATACCAGCAGTTAAGTGTAATTTTAGTGGAGGAAACACAATCTTAATTATAGTGTATGAGCTGGGACTATAATGTTAAAGTGAAATGTGGCATCTTCTGTCCTGGGAATGAGACAGTCCCATCAGTTTTTTAAAAACTAAAACAAAGATGGCTGTTCTGAACTGCAGAAGAACAGCTCAACGTAGTTCAGATGGGGACTATTACCAAAATACCTAGAAGCTATAGTGTTTGACTGAAATCTGCAATGGGGCTCGCAATGTGGTGCTCTTTCAGTCGCCCTCCTTTCTGTATTGCATTCTTACAATGACAGTTTAAAGTTACCTCTTTTTTTTTTTGAGGATATTTTAATAGTTTAAATATTGCAACTTCTTGCCTTCCAGGCTTGCTTATCTGACATATCTGGTTTAGGTCACTTGGAGATAGAGCTTTTTGGAATAGTTTTTGTTTATTTCACTACACAGAAGTCTTAAGTCTGAGATGCTGTAATACTATTTTGTCGTTGGTGTTACTATTACATTGGTAGTCTATATTGTCAGTGGTATTACTCAGTTACCTGTCACTTACCTTCTCTATTTATTTGCAGACTGTGTAATAGTTCTGAGTTAAACTGCAAACCTAAAGTCAATTTCATAAATAATAGCAACTTTGGAAACAGTTAGACTTTTTATAAACAGACCTATGAAAACTGATTTATAATCGTTTTCACACTAGAGGGCGCTAACATCTCATCAAATTTAAGCCCAAACCAATTCTTACTCTTTCTGTAACACTTAGGTATGGGGTAATCTTTATTGGTTTTGTAGTGGATGCCAAAGGGTTCAATTTCTTTGCAGCCTTTTCTCTGTAGAAATGAAGAGTAATAGTATTCTTGCAGGGTTGCATTAAAAGTTAGTGTGAGGAGTTTTCCTTTGTTTTACTAAACAGTAATTTGGGAAACTTGTGGAGAAAAGTGTAAATTCCACTTGTACTCTTAAATTGCTTTTAATATGATAATTTTCACTTGAAGCTGGTGAATAGGCATATAAGACAGGAAATTATTGGATAACTTCTTATAAAAGCTATCTAATAGAGTTAACATCTGGAATATACTTTTTAAAGTTGGTAATCAAAGGAAAAGAATCATATGTGAACTAATGTTGCAGGCCTAACTTTAAGTTAGGGTTAATGCATCCATTTACATATTGATATCTGGTATGTAGAAAATAGTATGGAAAAAAATATGAAAGTCTCTATACTGTCAGTAAGTAATGGATTGCAGTGGAACCTTCAGTTGTTTGTCATTTTTAAGTAGATAATTTTAGAATATGTGTTTGAATCTAAAGTTTGGACCTCAAAGTGGTGTAGCCATTTTGGAGGTACTTTATTTTTGTTATGGATTTTAGATACTGAATTTTGTTTAGAACACATGAATAAAATGGTTTCTGATTACTTTTTGCTCTTTGTAGGTATGGTTATTCAGTTGCCTTGGAGATGATCCTGCTGCTGTAGATGTAGGGCAGAAGATTAATGGTGCGGGCAGTATGGACCTAATGAACGGGCAGTCAAGCAGTGTTAATATTGCAGCTACTGCTTCAGAGGTAAGGATTACAAAACTCTGTTACTGGATACTCAAGACCATAAGTAGTCAATTCCTTAAAAATGCACCAAAATCCAAGTTTTTCTTTTAATAGATCTGGTGCAGTGGTCTGTTGTTTTGTGTGTGTTGGTTTCATGTGCTCCGGTTTAGATGTGAATAACTTGAAGGTCTGACCTTTGTATACCAAAATAAAGCATGACATAGCATTTACAGCCTTGCCATAGCCAAAGCTGCCTTTTTAATGTTGTCTTCCATCACATCTAGACAAGGAAGCTTTTCTTTTCAAGCTTTAACAATAACAGATGCTCTTAGTGCAATAAACTGGGCTGGCAGGGCCTGTGGGAAATGTTCTTTTCTTTTCTTTGACAGGTACTTGTGTCTGTGTGTCAAGGGGCGGTCTGACACAGTAGTACTGGAATAAGGTTGTTCCCTTTGTCTGTCGGACTATATTCAGACATTGGTATGGGTCTCCTCCTGCCTACCAATTTCTGCCCTGTGGAAGTGAGCAGCTCATGAGTTAAGAGCATGTGTGTCGACCAAGCAATGGAGATTGACCTCTAGGTTGGCAAATGTGATGCCCATTTACAAGAAGGGCTGGAAGGAGGATCCGGGGAACTACAGGCCTGTCAGCCTGACCTTGGTGCCAGGGAAGGTCATGGAGCAGATCATTTTGAGTGCCATCACACAGCACGTCCAGGACAACCAGAAGATCAGGCCCAGTCAGCATGGGTTTGTGAAAGACAGATCCTGCTTGACTAACCTGATCTCCTATGGCAAGGTGACCTGCTTAGTGAATGAGGGAAAGGCTGTGGATGTAGTGTACCTGGACTTTAGTAAAGTGTTTGACACTGTTTCCCACAGCATTTTGCTTGAGAAACTGGCTGCCCGTAGCCTGGACAGGTATACTTTTTGCTGGGTAAAAAAACTGGATGGATGGCTGGGCCCAAAGGGTGGTGGTGAATGGAGTTAAATCCAGCTGGAGGCCGGTCACAAGTGGTGTCCCCCAGGGCACAGTGTTGGGACCAGTTCTGTTTAACATCTTTATCAATGACCTGGACGAGGGGATTGAGTGCACCCTCAGTAAGTTTGCAGATGACACCAAAGTGGGTGGGAGTGTTGATCTGCTTGAGGGTAAGAAGGCTCTACAGAGAG